CCCTCCCCGCTCTCATCACTCCCCTGCCTTCCGCCCCCAACTCCACCAACCCTCGACCGTCACCTCCCCTGTCCACCCGCCGCGCTCCACCCTGCCTTCCGCCCCAATTTTTTATCAGAGCTGGTCAGATGAGTCAGGCCCCCCTTTTCGCCAGCCGCCCCCACCCTCTCCCACTCCCACTCCCTAACCCTCCCACCAACCCTCCCCAGCCCTCATCATTACCCCCTCCCACCATCGTGCACCATCCGACCGCCCCCCCGCTCTCACTGCCCTCATCGCTTCTTCATCTCTATGCCCCCCAGTCCACCCCTGCCTTCCGCCCCCAACTCCCTAATCCGACACCAACCCTCTACCGTCACCCCCCACCGCCGCCCCCCTTTCCACCCCCACCCGCCCCCACCCCCCCCGCCTGCCCGCGCTCCACCCTGCCTTCCGCCCCCCTGCCTTCCGCCCCAATGCGACTGTCTTGGGTCTGGGGTCGGCGGCACTGGCGGTAGCCAAAAAATCCGGCCCCCGCGCCGCCCGTGGTCCAGGGCGGAGCCCGCGTCGCACTAAAGCGCTAGCTTTAAGGGGCGAGCGCCCGAGCCGCCGACCCCACCCAAAATTGCTTCAAATTCGCGCGGGGCCCTTCGGGAGGTCTCCGAAACGGCATCCAAGGGGACGCAACACGCGGTGGTGCGAAAAGCACGAAAACCTCGTAAAAACCATGGGTTTTTACGAAAAACCGAGGCCACAAAACACCCGCAGCACCCCATTAAACCCTCACAGGCGCGCATCATCGGCCCTAGCTTTTCACATGGGGCGCGCGCCAGGCCGAAACCACGTTTTTCAAGGTTTGGAGGGGGTACCGGAAGCCCAAAACCAGGCGAGCATCATGAGCATCAGCAGCCCTGGCCCGCGGCCCCAAGGCAGTAAAAAAACGCTGAAAAACGCTGAAATCACCGTAAATACCGTGTTTTTATGAGGTTTTTCACGCGTGCCTCCGACCCCCACCCCTGTTGCCCTTGACCCGCCCCCAAAGGGCGCATCATCGAAACCCACGTCCGGGGGGGGGTCTGCTGATGCTGCTGATGCGCGGGGTCCGGGCGCATCATCGAGCCATCGCTTCTCTTGGGCTTCGTGGGGGGGTCCGGGCCCACGGCCCAGAGACCCAGCTGATGCTCATGATGCTCGGTTTGGGGGGGTGTTCCAACAGCAGAAACCTCGTAAATACCGAGTGTTTTGTGGGTCCACGTAAAAACGCCCTAAAATCGCTCATTTTACGCGCTCGAACGGCTTCGTGCCTACAAAACACCCGAACAGCAGGACCCCGAATGCCCTTAAGGGCATTCGGGGTCTTGCTTTTGGGGGTTTCGTGGGCACGCAAGCGTTCAAAGCACATACAATCGGCGTGTTTAAGGGGGTTTTGGATGGCCTGGGGGAGGCCGCTGATGCTCATGATGCTCCGTTTCCTGGGTCCCAAAAGGCTTCCCAAGCCCAAAAACACGTGTTTACAGCGTTTTCTGAAGGTTTTTCGAAGGCAAAACGCATGCATAGAATGCTTTTAAGGCCCCCAAACCAACCCCACTGATGCTCCTGATGCGGGTGCGCGCGCGCGCGCGCGCGCGCCGGCGCGCGGGGGGGGGGTGGGGGAGGGAGGGGTGGCGAAGGCAGGAGAAAGAGAGACAGAGAGAAGGAGAGGACAAAGACACGGGAAAGAGAAGACAGTGCCAAGGTTCAAGGTTTCGTGCTTTGGGGGGCGGGGGCCGGCCCGCGCCGCTAGGCCTGAATCCGGCCCCCGCGCCGCCCGTGGTCCAGGGCGGAGCCCGCGTCGCACTAAAGCGCTAGCTTTAAGGGGCGAGCGCCCGAGCCGCCGACCCCGCCCAAAATTGCTTCAAATTCGCGCGGGGCCCTTCGGGAGGCCTCCAAAACGGCATCCAAGGGGACGCAACACGCGGTGGTGCGAAAAGCACGAAAACCTCGTAAAAACCATGGGTTTTTACGAAAAACCGAGGCCACAAAACACCCGCAGCACCCCACTAAACCCTGACGGGCGCGCATCATCGGCCCTAGCTTTTCACATGGGGCGCGCGCCAGGCCGAAACCACGTTTTTCAAGGTTTGGGGGGGGGTACCGGAAGCCCAAAACCAGGCGAGCATCATGAGCATCAGCAGCCTGGCCCGCGGGCCCAAGGCAATAAAAAACGCTGAAAAACGCTGAAATCACCGTAAATACCGTGTTTTTATGAGGTTTTTCACGCGTGCCTCCGACCCCCACCCCTGTTGCCCTTGACCCCCCCCCAAAGTGCGCATCATCGAAACCCACGTCCGGGGGGGGGTCTGCTGATGCTGCTGATGCGCGGGGTCCGGGCGCATCATCGAGCCATCGCTTCTCTTGGGCTTCGTGGGTGGGTCCGGGCCCACGGCCCAGAGACCCAGCTGATGCTCATGATGCTCGGTTTGGGGGGGTGTTCCAACAGCAGAAAACCTCGTAAATACCGAGTGTTTTGTGGGTCCACGTACAAACGCCCCTAAAATCGCTCATTTTACGCGCTCGAACGGCTTCGTGCCTACAAAACACCCGAACAGCAGGACCCCGAATGCCCTTCAGGGCATTCGGGGTCTTGCTTTTGGGGGTTTCGTGGGCACGCAAGCGTTCAAGCACATACAATCGGCGTGTTTAAGGGGGTTTTGGATGGCCTGGGGGAGGCCTCTGATGCTCATGATGCTCCCTTTCCTGGGTCCCAAAAGGCTTCCCAAGCCCAAAAACACGTGTTTACAGCGTTTTCTGAAGGTTTTTCGAAGGCAAAACGCATGCATAGAATGCTTTTAAGGCCCCCAAACCAACCCCACTGATGCTCCTGATGCGGGTGCGCGCGCGCGCGCGCCGGGGGGGGTGGAGGGAGGGGGGGCGAAGGCAGGAGAAAGAGAGACAGAGAGAAGGAGAGGACAAAGACACGGGAAAGAGAAGACAGTGCCAAGGTTCAAGGTTTCGTGCTTTGGGGGGCGGGGGCCGGCCCGTGCCGCTAGGCCTGAATCGGGCAGCGCGAGGTCCCCAAAGGACCGAGCAAATGCGGACCTTTTAGCCCGGGTCGTCCCGGGAATAGCCTTGCTGGCCTCTGGCCTTCTGCGAAGCAGAATTAGGCCGGACGCCAGTGCCGCCGACCCCCGCGTGCCGCCGGTGAACGTTTTTTTTTTCGTGGTTTTTTGCGTCACCACGGAGGCCCCCAGAGGGCGCGCATCATGAGCATCAGCGGGTCCAGCCCGGGACCCCCAGGCGCGCATCAGGAGCATCAGCGGCTCCCGGGGCGGGACCGCGGGGGGGCATCAGGAGCATGATGCCCCCCAAAGGGCGAGGCATAAGCGACGTGTCTAAGCCCGGGGCTAGGAAAAAGGGAGTTTAGGGGCCTTATAAAGTGCTTAGAAACGTTAAGGGAGTCTCGGAGCCTCAAACGCTTGGAGATTTGAAGGGAGTTTAGGGGCCTGAAAATGCTTAGAAACTTAACGCTTAGAGATTTTAAGGGAGTTTAGGGGCCTCAACATGCTTAGAAACTGCTCGCCCCGGGCTTCTGCGTGCGCTGCCCGCCCATGGGCGCAGCCCCTTAAAATATTATAACATATGATGTTATGTTATGTTTTCCTACATACCCTTTCCTGTCCTTTCATTTCCTTTCCTTCCCTTCCTTCCTTCCTTGCTTCCTTGCTTCCTTGCTTGCTTGCTTCCCTCCTTCCTTCCTTCCTTCCTTCCTGCCTTCCTTCCTTCCTTCCGTCCTTCCGCCCTTCCTTCCCTCCCTCCCTCCTTTTCTCCCTCCCTCCCTCCCTCCCCTTCCCTCTCTCCGTCGGAAGAATAATTATTTCTTGATCCTAAATAATTATTTGTTGATCCTAAATAAATTTTTTCTTGATCCTAAATAAAATTTTTTTTGATCCGCATCCCTATAGAAAAAGGGAAGGACCCTTGCCCGAGAACGTCATGTGAACCAGTTCGATCGGTGTAAGCCCAAATGGAGCCGGCAGACAACTCTCGCAGTGAGCTCTGGTCGTCCGCAGCACCATCCTGGCTTGGCTGCACTCAGGAGGGTAGCTATAAATTAAACTTTGAGCTGCCTTAATGAGAAACCCAACAAACCCAAAAAAGGTAAGGACCTCAAGTTACAGTAAAGTACCACAAGGCTGGGTTTAATTAGGGTTTAGGGCTTAGGGTTTGTGAATGCACTTGTGGGCTCAGTCTGTGGGGACATTCCCATCGCACGAGAACTAGTTGCTGGCGCAAAACTCACGTGAGAGTGCAGACACAACGATGCGAATTCAACCCGAACGGGAGCAGGACTTCGACCCTCGAAAAGAAGGAGTCGCTTGCAGAGACATGCCAGAAGACTGCCCCGAGGATCACCCACACAGAAAAAGGCTGCACTCCAGCGCGGCCAGGCTTGCGCCGAGACCAAACTCTAAGGCCCGGCTCCTGACCCATCGCCTCGCGAGCACCGTCCTGCGGCTGAGGAATTTTGGCGTCGAAAACATGAAGACCGTTGTGCGAGGATCATGCACCAAAAGCCCTACATAGTTCACATGTGTACGTATATATATATATATATATATATATATGTACACACGCATAAAACGGATATTCATACACGTATATAAATATGTATATATATATATATTAATAATACTAATAATAATAATAATAATAACAGCAATAATAATAATAATAATAATAATAATAATAACAGCAATATACCCCGTACCAGCAGCGAAAAAGGATCCTCCAGGGCAGCCGCTTTCTCGGCCGCAGCCTCCAAGGACCGTGCAAGGCGCAGCCTGCAAGATAAGAACGTGCTCCCACAGCGAAGTCACTGCTTTGCAGGGTTTAGCTGAATACTCTCCAGCCATTATCATCCTGTGCTGGCATCCCCGTTTAAGAAGACCTAGAGTGCAGAGCGCATAAGATTATAGCGTGCAATAGGTGGTCGCTTGTTATGAGGCTCTCTGCCTCAGTTTGCCAGAACAGCATTGCCCTTCAGCTGCAGGCACACTCAGGTGTCTGAACACGAGCAAGCAGCAAACGCACGAGGCATCCCAACCCCCAAGATTTTGGATTTTTTTAGCCACCCAGCACTGGCCTCTCTCGGACACATTGCAGGTTTAGGGTTTAGGGTTAGGGTTTAGGGTTTAGGGTTCACACAATCCCCATGGAACTTCTCTGCCTCTCATCTTGCCGGGATTGCCAGGCTTCCGCTTCCTGACATCGAAAGAGCTTGATTCAGAGCCGACACAACCTTATACCCAGGTTGTCAAGGCCCATCATTTTCTGCACGCTGTTCTAGCTTACTAGCTGAGATGTTGTGCAAGCTGGGTGGGGTTTAGGGCCTGTTTAGGGTTTAGGGTAGTTTTTCTGGCACCCGCATAGCTGGACGAAGCACTCCGCAGGGATTCCAAGTTCCACATACGCCTGTCACTCGCTCCCTCTCAAACAACGCCTCTCCTCACGTGTCGCACTCCCGGCCCACTCAAGGCCTTAGGGTTTATAAATCGGCTCTGTAAAGCGCCCGTGATGTCTACTGCAAGCCCATGGCATCAGCAGCCTGTCGCAACGCCATCGGCAGGTTCGCGATGGCGCCGCCGGCAAGGAGACGGCCGACCTCCAGGATTCAGCGTTCATGAAAAGAGGATTCCAGAATTATTTAAAAAAAAAAACCGTGTTTAGAGGGTTCATTAAATGGGTTTAGGGTTCATAAAGTCCGACTCTCACGCTAGCACAAGCAGGGTTATAAAATTAGGGTTTCGGGTTTCGGGGTTTAGTGTTTAGGGGTTTCTAAATAGAGGGTTTAGGATTTAGGGTTGTGTTTTATAGAACACGAGCAGTGCAGCTCTAAATTTAGGGTGCTGGCCATCCGCCAGGATTTGGGGCTTAGGGTTAGGGTTTCGGGTTGAGGGGTCAGGAAGCTTCACTCTTGGGTGCAGACCCTGGGGACCAACTATGAACCCTAAAATTGGGGGCCATATGCGTCAGACTTAAATAATTCCTACTAAGACTAGGTAATATGAATCATGAACCCTCTTAGGGTTCAAGTGCTGTCTGATTTGCGCCTGATCGAGGGCGGCTTGCTTCTCCTGAGCCACGAGTTCTCAGTCTTAATTACTCTTACAACTGATCTCTTATACTACAAAATAACCCTTTTGAACCCAGACTCTTTACGTCAGCTGGCATGATGACAACTGCATCGACTCACATCCAAGAAACTAAGTGAGTAAGTGTGACATCCAAATAAAAATCACCCCAGACCCTCAACCCTAAAACCCGTTACTACAAAATCAAGGATTCATCTCAGTTCAGGGGTTCAAGACAGGGCCTTGCGAATTGGAATGGGGATCTCTTCCGGCCATTGATGGCTTAAGGATCTGAAAAGCCCCCAGCATTCGCCGGAGCTAGCGAATGCCGAGGCTCGTCCCACGTGGCGTCTTCTTCCGTGGCCTTGGCCATAGCCTCCTGCAGCCTCAGAGATTTTAGGGTTTAGGGTTTAGGGGCTCCGCTAATCTAAATTACGGTCTCTTGGGGGCATTTTTGGGGACCCTCATATGGGAGATACCCATATACGGATATGCGCCACAAACACAAAGCGCTGGAAGGGGCTTGGCATCGAAAACTGAAATTCAACTGGGCAGCGTGTTGAGTGCAGCTGCCCGAGAGGCAGGCGTGGTACCAACAGGGGTGCCAACCGCCACCTCCTTGGCCATTCGTGGCGATTTTTCGCGTTTCAGGAAGGGTCTTATACACATGTCTCAATGCAAGAAAAACCTAAACTCTGGCAACCCTGGCAGACGCATTCATGTGTTCTGGGGCTCCAGACCCTAACCGTAGCCTGAACCTGGAAGAGCTTCGCTTGCCAACGAGCGCACTGGTGTGGGGGGGGAGGGGGGGAGTGCCCTAGGACCCTAAGGGGGCGGAGAGGCAGTGCACGAAGGCCGAGGGCGCTGCGGAAAGGTTGGCTTTGTTGCCTCGGTGAACATCAGGTCCCATTTTCAGGCATCGGGGTTTAAAGTTTAGGGCTTGGCCGAAGTTGCCCCTTTGGAGCGCTCCGCATGTCTGGAGGATATTGAGGTCTGAAAGGCTGAGCACTGACCAGGCTGCACTATACTCAGCCCCCCAAAACCCTACGCAAACCCTATGTAAACCCCCATAAACACCCTAAGGCAACCCTCATACTCCTACAGAAATACCCCCATCGCGTCTGCCAAGCTGCTGAGGGTCCCAACGACGTGGCCATTGCCGGCCATGGGCGACGAAGCCACGCGCCGTGCCACTGCCTGCAACGCTCCAGGGGGGCAAGGCTGGGAGAGGCCAGCCTCTGTGTAAACATATACACTTGTACTTACATAAATACATGCATGCATACATACATACCTACCAAGACCTACATACATACATACATACATGCATACACAAACATATATATATATATGTACAGATGTAGAGAATACAGAGAATAATAAATAAATCATAAATAATAAATAAATAAATAAATAAATATATATATATATATATATGTATACAGTGCACAAAAAGCCGTCTTGTAGGTTTGGCTGGCACGAAGTCTGCTAGAGAATCGAGGTTTCGAGTTCGCAGGGGTCCTTCATGTAAACCTACTGGTTCTTAGCAGAAAATGCGGGGTTTAGGGTTTAGGGTTATAATCCGTGAAGTTGCTGACAAGGATTTTTTTTGGGGGATATGAGGTACCTAATTCCCTCATCCCTGCTAAGAACCAATAGGCAACGTGCATGGCAGCTTGATCATGGGCAAGGGGATGTAGAGGGTAAGGGGCCTGATTCCAGGGTTGGGATGGTTTTGAGATGTTTTGAGCGCTCGTGCCATCCCTTACAGGTGGAAAGTCTTGGAGCTGGCTCAGGCGAAGAGGTAAGACTTGTAGGACACAAGGCCCGACCGACTCTTAATTCCAAGTAGCCCACCTTCTAACCCGAGTGAAGTAAACTTTAGCTCGAAGAATCCCTCCTAGCAGTGCCATTAGAAGGCTGCAGCACTGCAAACGCCGTAGCGGAAAGTAATCGAACAAGCATGGCTCGCATGATTTACACTGCTAGAGAGGGGCGCCACTTTTCACGTTCACCGATACCTTGACACATCAACCGACAAACTAAGCCTATGGAACACGAGCAACGCCTCCACGGGAAGGAGCACACCCGAAGGGGCTGGAGCCACCCGGGCATTGCCTGCCAGCGGCGACTTTCTCTCGTGTGATGAAGCTTTCGAATCTCACTTGCCAAAGCAGTACCCACGCCAAATCTGCTGAGCCCCGGGAACTCGGCGAAATCTTGAAGCCCCACGAGACCCCATACATGCTGCTACTAAAGCCCAAACCCACTCCATTGTGTCCAGGGGCCCATGACGTTCAAGCAGCGGCCGGGCCAGTCTTTCTCGGAGACGGCACGCTTCAGGTCCTCCTGCTCCTGAAGAACTTGAGAGAAGGCGCACTTTACAAAAGCATTCGTTTGTGTCTGGGGTTCTGGAAGGGCAGGGAGCGAGGCATCATGCAAATTCAACACTTTCGCTCTCGGAAAAAAAGAGAGAGCCACAGAGAGAGAGAAAGCAACATTAACAAAGCTTTTAGGAGAATGGCGCCGCCTGGTGGCTAAATTGGTCAGTTGCAAAAGCTGTAGCACTAGCATCATTGGTAGTCCTCCTCTTCCTCCCGCGGCCGATGGCAGCACAAGCCCAAGCAGAGATAGCGAAGCCATTGGCAGCGTTGCCTTTTGCTGAGTTACCGTGAGGAGCGTTTCTGGTGTGTGGGGCTTTCGATTCGAGAAGGGGGGAGGGTCCATGATGGCCTATGTGCCCCCGACACGCCTGTGGAACGCCGAGGTGATCGCTGCGGATGCCATGGCAGCACCAAGCACGGCCATGATCAAGAAGGCCACCGACAGCGGCGAACCTAGCATGCAGAAGAGAGGCTTGGTCTGACGCCTCAAGACTGCCTGTGCACTTACCTCAGCCTTGACGGCAGCAAACATGCTGGATTTAAGAAACAGGATGTCAACAAACTCTGCTGCGATGTCGACTTGGAAGCCGCGCCCCTCCAATTCCACGCAACGCTTCAAAGCTAACATTTAAGCCTAGCCCTCCTAACTCTGTGACCAGCATCTAACTCTGTTCTCGTCCCACCCAGAAATACTAAACCCATGGCCTTCTTCGATCGTGGAACTGGCTTTGAACGAAGTCCCGCCCTGTTGGAATTGGGGGGGGGGGTCTTTTGAGCTGCTTGGGTTTTGGTTTTTAGGGTTCAGGGTGTAGGGTTCTAATGGGTACTTCTTATAATATTAGAACCCCAATTATAACGGCACCTAAAAAGGCCCTCTAAGTCCCTAATGCAACTACAACTGGGGTTCCATGAACCTCCAAGTGGGACTTACATGGGTTTGCTGAAGGTGTCTTAGTTAGTCTTAGCTTAGGGTTCTCGGGTTGCAGCATGCTGGAGGAGAGGATTGCTGCCATGATCAGCTTCAAGCAAACTTGCGGTTGAAGACGGCAGCACCGAACTGCTGGGAAAGCATGTCGGGCTGCACGCACTCAAAGAGAACGATGCCTTATAATCCTGCAGCCCGGAAGGCGAAAGAGCCTAAATGGGGGATTCCGAAAATAGGGGTACCTTGTTTAGGGCACCTCCTTTGTGTCTAGTGGGGCGCATGTGCGAACCCTCGAAACCTAAACAGGGGTCCCTTTAAGGGGATTCTATTCTATTTGGGGAATAAAAGGGGTAGGGTACCCCAACTTTCGGAAACTCCCCAAGTAACCTCCGTGAAATTCATTCTCGCCCGCACCTGGCCGCCCACCGGCGAAGTGCACATGGCATCGTGCAGACGCCAATCCTCAGCTCCGCACCGCAGGGCGAGGGCGCAAGACAACCCGCTTCTTCGCTCATCCCGCTCAACCTGTCTTTGCCAAGTGTTGCAACACCATCTGAAACTTCGCCTTAACGAGTTTTGCCCATCCTACATAACCCCAAGCCCTGACTCGTGCAGCGCAAAGTCACCCACACCTCAGGACCTCCACACCCTCCCCCCTGCACAGCCACGGCGTGATATATTGATATATAATTAGGACCCTCAGCTGGCCAAGTTGCCGAGCAGTGTCGCAGTGGAATGAAGGGTGCCTGAGCAGCTCGCCACGTGCAGGCAAACTGCAGGAAGGTAACCACCAGTGAAAGCAGAATCTCCCAAGAAGACCACTCAGCCCGTCCGCATGCGTCGAAACCTTAGACCCCGGCTCCAAAATCTTCACCAATGCAGGCCGGCGGCAGCCTCTGGGTCGGACTGACACCAAGCTTCCACCGCTTCCCCGCAGGTGAGTTCGGTGCCATTGGTGGAATTCTCCTGGGGCCATCTGCGGACACTGCCGTACCCCAACCAGGCACAAGCCGCCGAACACTTTATCGGGTGTCACTGCTCAAGGTGCCATCATGGAGAAGGTTGGGCTCTTGTAGAGGCCGTGGCCGAGTCCTCCTCCTCTTCGTCCAGAGAGTATGTTGTGGACTCGCCGCCCTGTCATTCCGCGCGGCTCAAACTGCGCATGCTTGGCAGAGCCGAGCCTAGGAGGCTCTACCCAACACAGCCCGAATCTGTTTTATCTCATACTAGAGCTATTTTATATATTACATATTTGTATATTTATTTACATATGTAAAACAGAATGTTACAGGTCTTGCCCTTTGTGTAGTTGACACAGATCCTTGCAAGGATGAGGACGTGTAAGACGAACACAGGGTATAGCAATTTGGGTACAGGGTGGTTCCAGAAGAATGCTCATGATGCCTGAGCAGGACGTCGAGAGGACTCTTTTCAGTCATTTCAGTCATTGGCCAAACATGTCTCATTCAATTGTGCAAGCCTTCTGACTCGGCAGTGCCAAAACATTCTGAAGTGCAACATAACTGAAAGGGGAAATTTCTCACTAGTCTCAGAGAGAGCCAACTGGTTGAGCTTCCTGTATGAGACCTTTGACAACCGAAACCATGAGCCTTTCTGCATGATGCTTCCCCAGCTATCCGGGTTTTTGCCGGCATCATTGCATTTTTGGTATACAATATACATTGTTGTATGTGTATATACGTGTATATATATATATAGATTTATTCATATTAGTTAACAGAGAATAAATAAACGTATAAAACATATTTATCTATTTCTTTCATATCTATTATCTAGATATATCGTCAAATAACAATAATAATAACAACAATATTAATAATAATACTCCAACCAGAGGGCCCTCGCCTGAGTCATGGTGGTGCTCGGGGCAGTGCCGGTGAGGTGGCGCGAGCTCGTGTAGTTTGTGTAGGCCCGCTCGGTGGTGGTGTTGGCCTCTGCGAAACATTAGGGTTTAGGGTGTAGGGTGTAGGGTTTAGGGTTTAGGGGTGCAGACTTTAGGATGCCGAAAAATCGGGTCCAGGATGCGCTGACTGGAACATTGATAGGCTTAGGCGCAGCGATTCAGACAAGGCGCGCTGTCAATGCTGTCCTGAGTCTTCACAAATTGTGGGTTCAGGGTTTAGGGTTTAGGGTTTAGGGCAAACCGTGCCCGCTTCAGGAGTCATAGCCAACCATATTCAAAAGGGGAATTTTCGTAGACCCGCACTCGTTTACCCCCCCCCCCCCCTACAAGCTTGGCAACAGATAGGCAATGAAGAGAGAACAATGTTGTTTCGGGGGGAAATTGCAGGGAGCTCCATCTCCCCACCAAACCTGTAGGGTTTAGGGTTTAGGGTTTAGGGTTTAGGGTTTAGGGTTTAGGGTTTAGGGTTTCGGGTTCCATCATCTCAAAAACCTTCGGTGCCCTCAAGTGAATGTCCCTTCGAGAGAACCCATGCCAAAGCCGAACCTAACAAACTTCGAGTCTGAGAACGTGTGCTGGGCTCTGTTCTGCAAAGGCCTTTTAAAAGCTGCCCCAACAAAGAAAATTAGCAACAAGTCAGCACTGCAACTTGTAGCACAGTCTCCGAAGTACTGGTGGCCGTCCAGGTCTCTGTGCCTGCCCGGAACAAAGCCGCTACTCAGCAGTACATGCCCCGAAAAGTTCTTTTAAGACCGGCCGAGGAAAAGATCGGATGGCACTTTGTCATGCCCCTACGGCCACCTCATAAGCGCGTCTCCCCTTGGCCTGAGAGGGCCGTGGCACTCAGCGTCTGTGTGGCCGTCGCAGGGCCCACGGTCGTGACGGGGGCCTGAACTGAACAATTGCCATCAATTGCCCAGTTGACAAAAAAAAACTCCGGAATGTCACAAGTCCAACTTCTAACGCAAGACTGGGCGGGAGGGGGAGGGGGGCTCTGGGCTCTGCACAAAGTATGAAAACTAATGGCCCTTTGTGGAGTTTTTGGCTGCTTGTTTACATACTTCGGGGGTCCGAGCAAGGCCTATCGAATGCAGATGCATGAATCGCCGTGGCCACAGAAGCTGAGGGAAGGACGAGTGTGGTGGTCTGTGTAGCGCTGGTCGACCTGTCTTCTTCGGAGAGAGTGAGGACATCTGCATGCTTTTCCTACTTTAACCGGACAGAAAAATGTTGAGTTGAAGAAACACCACTGGCAAGGGATTTCTACGCAGGCAGCACAGATCGTTGCACACACAGACTTGAGCAGGCTCGTTAAGTTGCAAATAGCCGCGGGAAGCGGAGGGGGGAGGGGGGGGGGGGCTGGTTGCGGCGCAGCGACGGGGTCGTCAACGTGGTCGTCAAGGTCCTATGATGGCTCTGCGATACCACATGACTGCGGAAAAGGGCCAGACGTGCCTGAATGGCATGTCAAGGGGCCCACAGGCCTTTGCAAAGCTTCCTGAAAATCTATGATACTGTATTCTGATTGCATTGAGTACCTAACTTGATGGTGGCTCTAAGGGTCCTTGTGGCAGTTTGCGTCTTGGTCATCGCTGGCATCGCCCAGTAGGTGCTGCTGAGAGTGGTGGTAGCTGTGCCCGTGACCGTGCTCGCCAAAGCCAGCGGCTCGGTGGCGGTCGCAGTGGTGGTCACTTCGGGTGGGCTGGTCGCAGTGAGCGTGGTGCTGAAGGTGCTGGTAGCTGTCTCCGTGCCCGTGACTGAAGTCTCTGTCGCGCTGAACGTGGTGCTGACAGTGATGGTTGCAGAGGTCTCTGTGGCCGTCACCGTCGTGGTTGACGATGTAACGCCTGACCAAGTTTTTGTGCTGCTTGTGAGGGTGATCGATGTGGCAGTTGAGCTTTGCGTTGTGCTGCTGGTGGCACTGCCCGTGGTTGTGAGTGTTGTGCTTGTGTCTGTCTGGGTGGTCGTGGAGGAAATGGTCTGAGTGGTGGTCCGCGTGCTGGTGGCCTTGCGTGCGCAAGCAACTCCATTCAGCCCAAAACAATTTGTTTTGCCACGCAGGGGTGTAAGGGTGTATACAGTATGCTGTAGGAGGTGTATAGGGATCACAAGGGATCGGAAGCCTCGTTCAGTTCGTCATCTCTGTTTGTTCTGAAGCTTGGCGGCCCGAGGCAAGTTCCAACAAAGGTATACTTAGTGTACAGTCGGTATTGAGGCAGTGTTAGACAAAGGTGCTTCCTGAAACACTTACCCCGTTGCCCAGTTAAGACTGCTCTGGCTCGTGTCGAGCGATTGTACTACGCACGACAACTTGCCATTCATCTCATTGGAATTGCTAGCCGCTAGCCACAACTTACCTTCTGCTGCAATGATGAGTGAACATGCGGCCTCCGATCCCAACGACATGCCAATGACAAAATAAAGTAACGTCGATGCAGCCACCGTCACAGAGCTGGTCATGGTTGTGGACCCCGTACTTGACCAGGTCGCTGATCCTGGAAAACTGTTGCGCAAGTGCCGTGAAGATGCTGTCTCCGGGCAGCATCACCTTAAACCCTAGAACCCTGAGGTGACTTGGCAGTCCTGTGGTCGAAGATGTGGCAGTCTCGGACACAGTCGCGGTTGCTGACTTGGTTGTTGTGAGGGTCTCACCTCACGACACCCTCCCTCTGGACCCCTTGCAGAGGTCCCTTGCAAGCTCCGCCCATGGGGCTGTTTGCTAAGCTCTGATGACTTGGAAGAAAGCTGTCTGGGTAAGCACGTCATGGGAGGCATTAGAACCCACAGACTCACAGTAGGGTGCCAGCGGCTATTCAAACCGACTGAGGCCAGAGCTCCCGGTTGTAGTGGTGGAGCTCTCGTTCGTCTCATTCCTAGCCCAGCGACATGTCAGCTTCATGGCCACCCTGCTCCCGAGCAAGTACTCATTTCGTAAGCTGAGGTCCCCACCGACATGCCGCGACGTTCGGCGATAAGTGTTTAGAAGTATGGTCCCTTTTCAGGCTGAAGCAAAGATCGCCCGGAGATGTATTTCACTACCATAACCATCTAAGAGTCGCATGCCCAACCCCACCCCTAATCCCCCCCCCCCCCTCCTTAATCCCCCCCCCCTCCCTTCCCCCCCCCCCCCCCCCCCCCCGAGTCGCGCAGCTTTGGACCCCTGTGCTTGGAACGCCTTGCTTCCCAAGATTCCTCCACTCGGGGATCGTGATGTTGATCTCCGTCAAGTTCGAGCCGGAAGCGAAGGAGCTGAACAACTTCCTTCGAAGTCCACTTCTTCGGTTATCTTCGGTTTATCCGGTTGCGGGGGCTGGCAGATACAGCACCTTGAGAGAAAGATGTGATTTAGTGAAGCTGTCTCTGTTTCGTGTCGGCTCGGGGCAGATATGTGCACATGCAGCTTAGGGAGCGCCGAAATTCACACACACCTGATTTCTGCTTGTGAGGCAAGCTTCCCCAGGTTTGTCAGGGTGCCGTTCGGGTGGATGAGGCCAGCATCTCCATTCCTGGGCTGACACGGCGTCGCAAACCCCGGAACAGGAAAAGGCTTTGAGGTCTAGAGGCCCACAGCAAAGGCAAGCCTGGTTTCGCAATGGACGCATACCACGGACCAAAGTCCAAACTTTTAACTCATCTCAGAACTTGGCATCTCTATGACCCTTGAGTCAAGGCACTCTCCGTCCACCTGCACAGGACTCATGTTGGGGTTCAGGGTTGAAGGTCAGGGAAGCTTGCTGTTGTGGTCACATAGGCCAAATGGCAAACCTCTTATGGTTGTGGCTTTACGTGTGCCGTGCTTCTCAAGGCTGCAAGGAACGAGTCCTGGTAATGCATTCATGGCATGAACTCCAGGGACAGAAAGCCCATCGGCAAGAAAACGAAGAAGTCGACTTTTAAAGGACAAATAAGGGATCCCAAGCCACGATCGGATGGGCCCACTGGTCCTTGAAGTAGCTGAACCAGGCATACCTTGGAGTCCCGAGTTTGGCGGCCCCGGAACAATTTCGCTATCTGAAGCTATGGAAACATCCTGCCCGGAGCATCTTCCCCCCGCTCTCCCCTTCTCCCTTTTCCAGCATCCCTGGAGATCCTACAGGTCCTACAGTATGTTGTATATTTCGGGGGGGCAGCCAGGGTTGAACCCTTGGTACTCGATGCAAGCCAGGAGCATCTCCACATCCTCATCGGCCTCGAGGAGGGGGATTGCCTCAGGTCTCACATTCACTGTGCAGGAACGTGTGTCTCTCTCGACTGAAGTGCTTCTGGGGTTGTCTATGTCTGTGTCTCGGTATGATAAACCTGACTGTAGATGCTCGTTCTGGAGACTGCTGATTACAAGCCGCACGCACTGATTGCAACGTCCACAATTGCTCATCTCTGGCCCCCACCCCCACCTCTTAGGGTCTAGGGCCATACGATCCCCACGAGCCTCCTTCATGTACGCCATCTGGCCCTGGACGGAAGGCATGGCTGTTGTTTGCTCAACTAGTGATCTGCTGACCCCCCTCCCACCGTTTGTACCGACATGGGAGCACTCTCCGGTACTGCAGTGCCCACCAGGAGAAGGTGGTGTAAATCCATTTCGTAGCGGCGTCGGCTTCAGGCGCAAAAAAAGCCTTTGGCATGCTCCCAAGCTTTGTTGGGTCATCCGACTTGTCGTCCGTTTCAGCTCTTAAGCTTTAGCTGAACTACTCTGAGCCCCCAAAGCCCTAAACCTTCAACCTCTAAAGTCCCTCAAAAAGGAGATCCCAAACATCCGTCCTCTGCAGATAGCCGCTCCGGTGAGGCGGTGTCGGAGCAGGCAATTTCCGTGACCCACATGGGCTTGCCTTGTCGGACACAAGGGATTAGACCGTCCGAGGCTTTTGTCCGAGGCTGTTTTTATGCACAGCGTCGGATAAACAGTGACCTGAGCTCAGCGGTTCAATAGTTGGGGGTTGGAGCTCCTTGAGAAGAAAAACAGCCCGGCACTCTCGAATCCTTTCGAATATCTGGCAGGTTTTTGGTGCCAAGTCGTGTCCACCTGCCTAAGAAGAGACCAAAATGGATCTACAGCGCTCCGGCATGCTCCGGCCCAGTGGCCGAAAACACGGTAGCGATCCAAGTGGTACCTAAGTTTGCACTTGCAGCGTGGTGCAAAACCTATAGATGTGCTCTCCAAGTGCTTTAAGTGCAGAAACCCGACTTTCTTCCCCAGCACTGCGCCTCGTAGTCCCTGCGCTCCGAACCCTCTGTTTTGATATGCGCTCTCCGAGGCACTTCAGGCCATTGGCGTAGCAGCTGAAGACGTGGAGGCTGATCGCATCAACCTGGGAGGGATGGAGCCAACGAGGCCCTTTAAATTATTATCATCTAATTTACTAAGATATTATCATTCAATTTGCTTAAATATTCTCATAGAATTTCTTAAATTAGAATATATTATCCGCCGACCCCAGCGGTAGCAGGGCGGCATCAGTGAAGACCCCCCACCGCCCTCACCGCCCTCACCCGCTCTCACAGCATGCTGCTCATGACACCTTGAATTGGAGTGTTTTTGCATTGTTTGGCTTCAGTGCATGCCCAAACCCCGCCACCCATCGCCCTCATTGAATTGGACCTTTGACCCCCCCCCCACCCCATCCATTCAGGCGGTTTAAAGGGTCCAGTGCATGCCCGACCACCCCCCCCCCACCCCCCCTCCCACCCCCCCCACCCCTCCCACCCCCCCCACACCCCCCCACCCCGCCCCACCCCACCCCCCCCCCCACCCCCCCCACCCCAACCTTCCCCCCCCTGTAGCGGTTGTACAGGGCGACTGGCGGTCTGGAAGCGACATGTGAAGGAGAAACGGTTCGAAGGGCGACCTCAGGAAGGGTGGAACAGGGCGACAGAGTACGATTTTTGGCGTGCTCTGGGACTTGGTTCAAAACTGAGTACTGTGCGCATCTCAAAAAAATACCCCTCCCAGTGTTCCACCCGTGGAACTAGTAAAGGGCCCACCCTCTCTCCAGGCCAGTTTGCTGATCAAGTAAAGGGCCCCCCGCTCTCGGGAATTACAACCCCTCCCAGTGTTCCACCCGTGGAACTAGTAAAGGGCCCACCCTCTCTCCAGGCCAGTTTGCTGATCAAGTAAAGGGCCCCCCGCTCTCGGGAATTACAACCCCTCCCAGTGTTCCACCCGTGGAACTACAACCCCTCCCAGTGTTCCACCCGTGGAACTAGTAAAGGGCCCACCCTCTCTCCAGGCCAGTTTGCTGATCAAGTAAAGGGCCCCCCGCTCTCGGGAATTACAACCCCTCCCAGTGTTCCACCCGTGGAACAAGTAAACGGGCCCACCCTCTCTCCAGGCCAGTTTGCTGATCAAGTAAAGGGCCCCCCGCTCTCGGGAACTACAACCCCTCCCAGTGTTCCACCCGTGGAACTACAACCCCTCCCAGTGTTCCACCCGTGGAACTACAGGCCAGTTTGCTGATCAAGTAAAGGGCCCCCCGGTCTCGGGAATTGCAACCCCTCCCAGTGTTCCACCCGTGGAACTACAACCCCTCCCAGCGTTCCACCCGTGGAACTAGTAAAGGGCCCACCCTCTCTCCAGGCCAGTTTGCTGATCAAGTAAAGGGTCCCCCGCTCTCGGGAATTACAACCCCTCCCAGTGTTCCACCCGTGGAACTACAACCCCTCCCACTGTTCCACCCGTGGAACTAGTAAAGGGCCCACCCTCTCTCCAGGCCAGTTTGCTGATCAAGTAAAGGGCCCCCCGCTCTCGGGAATTACAACCCCTCCCAGTGTTCCACCCGTGGAACTCTCGTAAAGGGCCCACCCTCTCTCCTGGCCAGTTTGCTGATCAAGTAAAGGGCCCCCCGCTCTCGGGAATTACAACCCCTCCCCCCACCCCCCCCCCACCCCCCCCCCCCCCCACCCCCCCCCCACCCCCCCCACCCCCCCCCCCACCCCCACCCCCCCCACCCCCCCCACCCCCCCCCCCCCCTCGCTTCTTCATCTCTATGCCCCCCAGTCCACCCCTGCCTTCCGCCCCCAACTCCCTAATCCGACACCAACCCTCTACCGTCACCCCCCACACCCCCCACCCCCGCCGCCCCCCTTTCCACCCCCACCCACCCCCACCCCCCCCGCCCCCGCCCCCCCCGCCTGCCCGCGCTCCACCCTGCCTTCCGCCCCAATGCGACTGTCTTGGGTCTGGGGTCGGCGGCACTGGCGGTAGCCATTCAATAATATAATAATATTAGGGAAGCAAGAGTGTTTTTGAGAACGAGGAGTCGGAGCCTTGCAGTCAGCGCAGTGGTAAAAGAATTGGTAGAGCCAGTCGATCGGATCCTGAGGCACGCTTTGTGTTCTCGGGCTTATGTGGGCAAGCAAGAAGCTCGGCATTCGGATGCAGAGAGCAGAGTTAGCGGTAAGATACTTCGTTGGACGGAGGATTGAGTTCGGGCTGCACGAAAGGCTCCTGAGCTGAACGGGCCCCTGTTACTGCCAAGAGTTGGAAGCCACACGTCAGTGGTTGACATGTCGCTGCAACGGGGCGCCCGAAGGAACAATCAAGCAATTCAATGGGCGAAAAGTCGTTTGGGGGGGGGGGGGGAGTGAAAGGCGAGGACGTGCTATCTCATGCTATCTCCATCCTTGCAGCTGGCAGAATCCCTCGCGCTGCATTACTCCCTGGGCCAAAGAAAGCTGAGGAGAGCTCGAAAGACCAGTGGTAATTCATTGAAGGTGCGACCTCGGCAGGGGAGGGTCCTTGCTTAAGGGCTGCGGGCGCCACGCCGGGTGTGGAAGCATCAGTCTGCATTCAGAAGCTAGCAGCATCCCAACTGTGGATGCTTTCATTCAAAGATGTGCTTCCTATGAACGGGGTCGATGAGAGCTGGGCCCGGAACTCGTGTCGTGATCTCTGAGGCTGCTGCAAGGTAAGTGATGTTGTTCTCTTCGCCGATCTTTTCGAAGTCCTTCCAGTAGTAGGCTGCCTGATGGCTGTGTTTTCAAAGCCTTGCTGCCATGAACTGCTGCAACAGGCTTTGAGAGCTGGCTCACTGTCAGGAACCCAGAAGCACCCGGCAAGTTCTCAACCCGAAACCGACCAATCCAAGGCCGGGGCCCAGTATGGATGCAGGTTGGCCCTGGCGTTGTGCAGGTGACAGTCCCTTCTTTGCGAAGCAAAGATGGGTGGGGGGGGGGGGTTGTCCTGCACATTTTTAAAAACTCCCCTAAAAACTTCCCCAACAACTCTGACCAGTGCACGACCTCCTTCTCAGTGCACTTGGCGATGTCTGGGTCCGGGTCAACCCAGTCCAGCTTTTACAAGGGACACTGAGTTTCTGATTAGTCTCATGAGCGTTCTCGAGAGCGCATGGATATATGGGGGTTTACGACATTAGGGGTACCCTATTGGGGTCCTTCTTGTTTAGGGGGATTCTACTATTTGGGGATCTATACCATGCTAGGGGTCCTTTATTATCGTCAACCCCCATAGGTCAGCATCATGCCAAGCCGACAACATGCAGGTCCCAAAGAAAGCGGAGCAAACGCCGAACGCGCAAAACCCCCCCTCGAAGCACGCAAACTCCGAACTCTCCGGGCGGCCTTTGCACCTTATAGTCTACAAACGACATCCACACATGTAATAGCGGACACATCCGCCTCCCCCTCCCTCCCAAACACAGAAGCTGCAAGGGTTTTTTCTGGGTCTCCGGCTGATCGGGGAAGTTGGGCTCGTTGAAGCCCAGCAGGGCCTTGCTGCCCTCCGGGAGCCCGTCTGCCTGTGGCGCACCGCTTGGAGTGAGAGGGGGAAGGGCCCTATGACTATGGCCTCTATTCTCAACTATCTTCATCTTGAATGAAGGTTTCTAGAAATTCTGCCTACCAAGCGGACCACGCTGCAGGGTAAGCACTTCCGAATGATTGAGGCCATTCTGCAATTTCACCTTATAAGTGAGAGCGCTGGGAGGTTCAACTGGGCTGGTAGACGACGGGGAGATCGTGGCTTGAGAGTGTTGGGAGTCTGCGATTCGAGGGGGGGGGGGGGGGGTCCATTCCCGTGAACAGAGGGCGCACAATGGCGTGCTTCGCTGTGGAAATGTACGACAGGGCTAGGACCTCTCCAACCCAACTCGAATTGGCCATTCTGAATCAGGATCCCCTTGTCGTTTCTACTGGCGTCCCTTACAAAGGAAGACCCCACAAGGGCACCTACGTTGACTAACAACCCACGATTGAGAGGCCAACATTCAGTGAGATCAAGAATGGCACGGGAAGAGCAGCCAGCCAGCCATCGACCCTCCATGACAAAAAAAACACTGAACGAATCACTCCCCTGCGGCTGTCATCACGTCCAAGCCTGCGCGTTTGGAATGGTGCCTGGGATCAGAAAGACTCGAGTACGTCACTTGCTCGGAGCCCTGTTTTGGATCTCAAGCCCCATTCCAGACTTTAGGACACATCCTTGTGAAAGGCCGCTGAAGCCTGAGCAGGGTTCAGACGGCTGTTTGCTAAACGCTCACACGTGCAGACACACACACACACACAAAAAAAAAACACACACACACACACACCGCACTACACAATGCCGATCGTCCACAGGATAAAGACACAACGAGCTACAAATCGGGTGGACGGAAATGATCAATCTGGCCCAGCCGCCCGAGCCCCAAATCATCGGGTAGAACTCGATACCCGCTGCCTTCCACACATCCAGGCTGGGTCCACCTCACAAACGACACCCCCCCCCCCCCCCCCGCATCGGCGGAGTTGTCTAAACTCAGTGCCGGAATGAATGCCTAAATTCAAACTCAACCTCGCTCTCTCTCTCTTCGTCCTTGGCTGAAATGCGGCTGAAAAGCCTACGCTCCCCGGTCAGGCCCGTGAGATTCAACCGCCGATTCAGGTCCAAAAATCACTGAATTACCCGTCTGCCTGGTGACTTAGAAGCCCTGGAAGCCCTAAACCCTAAACATGTGGAAAGCCCAAGGCCTTGGAGTTTGTAATCCCAGGTGGCGCCCCACGAGACGATGTGCGAAAGCCCAGACAGCATCTCCTTGCGTTGTGTAATTTCGGACATCCGCTGTGTCGAAACCAGTCCCCAACTTCGCTAGACTTAGCTGCCTTCCTCAACCTCTCAAGCTGGGTGACAGGGGTTCGACTGCCTGAAAGATTTTGGCACCCTGAGCCACTGAGCCTAGCGCAATGTAGGGCTTAGGATTATGGGCTCCTTCGTCTTTAGAGTTTGTAAAGTTCAGAAACAAGCTCTGTACTATGCGTCTCGTTCGATGGCACTTGTTGCACATGTTTTTTTTTGTGCAATGTGGCACTTCTTGCACATGTGCTTTTTGCAAATGTGGTTTTGCAACGTGGCCTCGTTGAAGTTTGCCAGGAATGCCGACACCAACGCCGCCAACAGCCAGGCAGCCAACGCACAACGCCCAAAGCAACCCTTTTTGACCTTTGGACCTACGACCTACAACCACTTTAAAGGTTACCATTAAAAGGGCCAGTTATTACTCTATTGTTACTATTTATGGCCCCCAAAACCCCGTTAAGATAGTCAAAATGTAGGGGTTTTTGGCCTTAACATTATATTAGCGAAGTAAAAGAAGTGTGTGAGCGCTACAATAATATTATCGCGGCTTTTTCTCTCTTCTTATTGTGCCGCGAGAACACGATTAAAATTCTATCACCAGGAAATAAGACGTGAAGTTTGCACAAACATGCACAAAGTACAATGCGCGAGCGAGTCCCAGAGCATCCGAAGCCAACCTCACAGCAGCGTGTCTTTTGAGCATCTCCAATTCACCCTTCCGATTCCTTTAGTAGCCTTTCCAATCGGACTTCGTCCTCCCTGGGACCCTAGAAATGGAACAGAGACACCCTTGAACAGCTTTGGGTTGTTCGGGGCGATGGCGGCTCCGCCGTCAGCATGTGGTTTTCAATGGCAATGCCTCGCCTTGCAGCTGAAGAGACTGTGCGGGTTCCGTCGCAGGATGGGGGGTCGTTCTAGCACGGCGTCTGGAATTTCACAGCTTCGCATAGTGGACGATGTGGGGGTTATAAGCAAGACTTGGCACTAAGGTTGCTAGGGTGGGGCGTGGGGATTGGTCATGAATCCTGAGCGTCTAGAAACGCATTCAATGTTGGAGGGCGGGGCTTGAAGAATTTGACTGGAGACAGTTGATGAATTGCAGCAGGCATGGACCTCTACACCAGGGTGGGCTATTATACCCTATAATCCCTTAAGAGGCCCTTTATAGGGCTCATTATGGGGATTTTAAGGCCTCACAGCCCATCCTGGTACAGTCCAGTGTCCTTAGCATAAAGGGAAATAGGAGAGATACTCGCCGGCTCTAACGTCGAGAAGCTGTCCTCGTCGCAAGCCCCACAAGACGCCCTAAACCCCAAACCCCAAACCCCAAACCCTAAACGAGTGTTGTAAACCCCCTACAAACCCTAAACTCGAAGCGCAACGAGGTGCTTCGCAGAGCGCTCCGTCTCACCGTCCTCGCGGTACTTCCTTAGCTTCGATGCACAATGCGCTTCAGGCCCTGGAGCCTTGAAACGGAAGCCTGCAAGTTACATTTTGACAAATTTGGGGGTTTACGAAAACAAGGGACCCCTAACATAGCCCCCCAAATAGAAGGATAGGAAATAAGGTACCCCCCCTACTTTCGGAAACTCCCTAAGCCCTATAAACCCTAAACCTTAAAGCGAGGCAAGATGCTCCCAAGGCCAGCAATCGGCGCAAATGTCGTTCTCCAGCGCCGTCTGCAGGGCTGAACCGTTGAACCGAACGGAACCACCTGCAACCCTTGACCCTAACCCTAAGGCTCTAAGGGCTCTTATTTTGGGCCTTTTGGGCCCAACGGCCTTCTATGTAAGGTTTCTGGGGCTATTTTGAGCCTAAGGGTAAACCTAGGACATCATGATAGGCGACTCACGGCTGAAGTTGGAGACCCCACCCCCTTTCCTCGTTCTGCTTATTGGGTTTAGGCTTAGGGTTTAGGGTTTCCACCACAAGCAGAATGAGAAGTGCTAAGAACCATGGAAAAGCTAAGTTTCAGCTGGTTGTTCACCCTTATACTAACAGTCCTTTATAGTAGTCGCCATTATATTGCCTATTGAGGGGGAACATCCCAACCCTAAACCCTAAACCCTAAACCCTAAACCCTAAACCCCAAACCCCAAACCTGTATCCCCCGCCTGGACGCGAGCCTCCTGCTCTGTGAGGAGTCCTCCCTGAGGCGTCTGAAGAAAGACGATCCTGGGTCCCAAAACTATGAGTCCTACACAGAGATTTGGGGGCAAGGGTTTAGGGTTCAGGGTTTAGGGTTTAAAGTTTAGGGTTTAGGGGGGCTGAGTCCTTGGCAACTAGTTGAGCTTTTCGGTCTCTACAGGGCGCGGGTGCGAACAAGCGGCCGCTCGCCGCATGTGTACGGCTCCCCGTCGAACTTTGCATCTTCGAACCAAACCTGCTTCGACTGCTAATTGCTTAGGAGCCCCCAAAAAGATTAATAAACATTCTGCCTTTTTTTTTAAGGCAATACATATTCTGTCTTGTAAAGGGCAATATAGGGACTACTCTCTTCGATGTTTTTGGGGGTTCCTGAGCAAATAGTGGGTCGAGGCAAAGGTCCTTTCAGGGCGTCCGCAGCTGGCATCCTCTTGAGGAGCCAACAACTTATTTCTTAAGCTCCTGAAGCTTGAGGCGGGGGACATGCCGAGTTTTGGAGACCTCCAGGTTGAACGGTTGAACCTCTGCCCCAAGTTCCAGGCCAAAGCTCCCCAAGCCCAAGGGTGCGACCTTGGGGCAAAATCCTTTCTGAGAGAAGCAGTTGAAACGCTTCCTTACGTGTGAGAAGCTTATAGCTTGGCCTCCCCCTCCCAGCATAAGAAATTCGATCCACCTCTTCGCAGCTGTTGCTCAGCGCTCGGGTGACGGAAGCCTTGAAACCAAAGCATGCGTGAAGAACTGGTTACAGTAAATTACAGCATTTTCTAGCGGAAGATAACATTGCGGCATGCTCTAGACTTGGCTAGCTTCTTCATAGCGCAAGGAATTTGTATGCGAAAGCACCGCACATGGAACACCCACGAATCAAAAGTGGGGCCGTTGTTTCTGCCTTGTCGGGGGTTCGGAGTTAAGAGGCGCCTTTTTGCCACGCAGCCCCCAGCCCTTCACTCAACCTGCACCAACCCGGCATCCCCAAACCTGACCTCTACTGTCAACCCTAAACCCTAAACCCTAAACCCTAAACCCTAAACCCTAAACCCTAAACCCTAAACCCTAAACCCTTCTGGAGCTGAGGTCGGCGCTGCAATAAATACAATCACGAGGTTCAACGTAGTCCTGCCGGTCGGTCATGCCCACATTTCTATAACTAGGGCTCAAATCTCAAACCCTCCTACCTAGCGCACCATCTCTCTCTGTCTGCCTTCCTTCCTTCCTTTCTTCCTTCCTTTCCTTCCTGAGGTGCGCCAAAAGCGCGCTCATCATGAGAGTCTGTTGGTGAGACTGGGTGTGATGCTTTTTCCCCCCCCTGATCGGGTTTTTCCATCAATCAAATGGCCTGATACGCAGGTTGAGCTTGTGAGTGAAGTGCAGCTCCAGAAGGCTACGACGGCAACTGGCAACGCTAATGCTCTGTCACTGTGTCTGTCCTGTTCTTCCTTCCTTCCTGCCTTCCTCCCTCCCTTCCCTCCCTCCGCGCACGGCACTCCCCAGGTGGGGAGAGCCGAAAGAGCGGTCACCGAGGCTGTGGACCCCCCCCCAAATCCCCTTGGTATCATGCCTCTGTCTCTCCCTCTGACCTTTCCCCCCCCCAAACCCTAAACCCGAAGCCCTGAACCTTAAACCCTAAAAACCTAAACCCCATACACCCTAAGCCCCTAAGCCCTAAAATCCTATACACCCTAAGCCCTAAGCCCTCAAATCTAAACCCCAAACCAGAGTGCACCGAAGGTCCTGGCCATCCTGGCGCCGCTGAAGGTCTCGGGATCTGTGCGGTCAAGAACCAGGATGGGCCATTACAGGCCTTATAATCCCCATAATGAACCCTACAAAGGGCCTTTTAAGGGATTGTATAGGGTGTAATACCTATACAGGGCCTTTTAAGGGATTCTATAGGGTGCAATAGCCCATCCTGGTATGAAATGCACCCCGCAAGTTCGAAAGCTGTTGGAGAACAAGGGCGCCCGGGCGCGCACAAAGGATGTCCATTTGCGCATTCCTTTTTTGGGGGTACCTACAGCACCTTTCTTGCTGCATTCTGCGGCCACAAAGGCGCAAAATATATCGAATGTGGTACCACCAAGAACATCTGCAATTGGCGGCCCGAACGGAGAGGTATGGTGGTTTCCGAGCTTCGGGGTACCACATTTGGGGTCCTTCTTCTAAGGGCTTCTTTGGGGGGTCTATTCTCAGAGGGGTCCCCTACTTTCGTAAACCCCCCATATTGAGCCCCAGCCTGCGACGATGTGGGACGGGCCGTCGAGAGCGACCGCTGGAGTGTCGAGACCTATGTGGAGGAGATGAAAGACTCCAAGTCTTTGAGCCGAACTTAGAGGGGCTGAATACCCCAGCCCAAAACAGGCTAACCTGATGTATATATATATATAAACATAAAAATATATTATAGGATTCTGTATAACCAAAAGGTTCAAGGTTACCTACCCAGCCCCTAAGAATGATTAAGGTTGCACTTGCAGAGCTTCAGGGCACAATTGCAACACGGCGTGCCGACCCCGTGCCGGCGGTGTGTCGTACGAGGCACCTTCCACCATGATAGACTTTTCTCAGCAATGCACTAGTCCTTGTTTGAAATGACTACAGCTCCCTGCCCATTCATGTTGCAGGTGCATGGACAGGCACGCCCAAGAGTCCTTCATGTCACTCCAGAACCCTGTTAAAACCCCAAACCCTCAACCCTGAAGCCTTATAAAACCACCCGACCGAAGCCCCAAGGGCCCCCGAAACGCCTAAACTCTTCGACTCGAAGGCCCCTCAACCATATGCAGGGTTTATCGGTGTGAAGCTGTGTTTTTGCTCGCTCCTTGAGGGGTTTCGGGTTTACGGTTTAAGGCTACCCTAAACCCTATAAACCCTAAACCCTAAACCCTAAACCCTAAACCCTAAACCCTAAACCCTAAACCCTAACCCCCCAAAAGCCATGATCTGAGTCAAGCCACTGGTGCTCGATCGCGCTCTGGCGAGGAGGACCCTCAACTTCTAGGCACTGAGTGTTTGAGCCACGGAGGACAAAGGGTTTTCGGGTTTAGAGCTTGGGGTTTAGGGTTTAGGGTTTAGGGTTTCGCCACCCGCACTGCGCGCACATCAGCACCCGCTCCGCAGGGTTAAGTCGGTTTAGAGCTTGGGGTTTGGGGTTTAGGGTTCTTGCAGGGGAATACAGGGTTTCCCCACAATGAGGGTGCCTAACTTGGGGTTTCTTGTAGTTATTACGCGGGTTGAGTATATCTGGCTGACAAACATATCCATATATAACTCACAAAAAAAAGTGTGTGAGTGTGTGTGTATAAGTGTGTGTATATATACACATAAGCGCGAGTAGCCTATTTTGGGAAATGCCGCTGTGTGTCAGTGGATGGGCTGTATACCTGACTTGACCAAGGGTCTCTCAGGATGCGTGTGATTGGCACCTTTCAGCTTCGAACGGCTGACTTTGTGCCTCTTCGTGTGGCGCAGCGTAAGCTCAAGACCCAGGCAAGGTTGACTAGATTACCTCTATAATCCCTATTGAGGACTGTTAGTATAAGGGGGAACATCCCAACCCGAAACCCTTTTGAAACAGGCCTCGTGATGCAGCAGCCCGGCAGACCCCTTACAATAGTGCGAGTAGTGATGCCGCAAAATCTCTCGAGAAAACTATCTGACATGTCAGCTCGTAGCCATCCCCAGCCCACAGCATGAGGCAAGGCGGCATGCGTGCGGGGGCAGGACGGCACACAACAAGGAATTCCCAAATATCCTCATCTCGGGAGCTTGATATGTGGCAGGATGGAGACTAACTTGTTGGGAGCTACTAATATAGGGGCCTTCATAGTTAGAGGGTTTGGGGCTATTATAGTTTATTTATAAAGGGGCCATACAAGGGAATGACGTTAGTAATTCTTCCGACCCCTATATTTACATCTGGGCCCAATGGCACGGGATGCAAGCGGCTGCTTTTTCTTCTTCGGCTCCCAGATGCCCCCGTCACTGATTCACTGCTCCTCTTATTGGCGAGCTCGTGGTGGCAGCCTCATTGAAATCTTCATAGTTGCAAGTGTCTTAAGCGTATAGTTTAGGGTCTTTTTGGAGTTTCGGGTACATCCCTGCAATGGAGCTCATGTCTGCGAATTATGACTTCTTGAGTGACTTCTTGAATACTGCTGCACTTGCGGCTTGGCAAACTGAAGCAGCTGGCTCGTGCCACGCAAGCATTTTCGAAGCAGAATTGGGTCTGAGGAAGCATAGGTCACACAAATGCCCGATCACTTGAGTGCCAACGTGTACAGTATATTCAGCACGCAGTCGGTCGATGGTACGGGTCCATGTGAAGGTGGGGATGTGGAATCTCCTTCTGAATCAGGACATGTTTCTGGTTCTGACCCCAAACCTTCATCCGATATGCAGTTTTCGAAATGGCCTCATGCGGGACGTTCTTGATTACGTCCAAGAGAAACAAGAGCAGCATGAATGCCCACGTGGAATATCAGCGTACTTGGGATGGCTCAGCAGCCGTACTGTCACTCCGCACCCGTACTCGGCTGCGCACATGAAAGCTGTCTTGCCGTTCTGATCCTTCAGATTCTTATCGGCGCCAGCTTCCAGCAGCAATCGCGAGATCTCTTCATGACCTGAAGAGGATGCTAGCATGAGGGCCGTGTTGCCAAATCGATCTTGCAAGTTTGCACGAGCACCAGCTTCCAACAGCGAGCGCAAAATGTCGACATGGTTGTTCTCAGCTGCCCACATAAGAGCTGAGTTGCCATGCCGATCCTGCATGTCCTTGTTGACACGAGCTTCCAGCAGCAAACGCAGAGTCTCGTCATGGAGGGAAGATGCCGCCAGCATGAGAGCCGTGTTGCCGCAACAATCTTGCAAGTCTCCGTTGGCACCCTTTGCCAACAGCAACTGTACAATCTCCTGATGGCCCCCACCAGCTGCTAACATGAGAGCCGTTGTGCCAGAAGGGTTCTTCATGTTGTTGCAAGCCCCGGCCTCCAACAGCAGACCGACAATCTCTGCTGCTCCACCTTCAGCTGCGCGCATGAGAGCGGAGTCGCCCTCAGTGTTCTGGAAGTCCTTGTCAGCCTTTGCCTCCAAAAGCAAGCGCAGAGCCTCTGTGCTGCCTGAAGATGCCACTAGCAATAGTACGTTGCTGTCTGCATGGGCATCTAGCAGCAAACGCGCCACGTTTAGGTGGCCTTCCATTGCTGCGTGCGTCAGGGCGGTGTTGCCGTTAGCATCGCACGCGTTAGTCACGGCGCGAGCCTCCAAGAGCAAACTTACAATCTCCAATTGGCCCCCGAGAGCTGCGTGTGTGAGGGCTGTGTCACCATACCCGTCTCGCATGTCTTTGTCGGCACCGGCATCCAACAGCTTCTGGGCAATCTCTTTGTTGCCCTTCCTGCATGCATCAGTGAGCTCTTCCTGAGCTTCGTCTTGCGAATCACCGGACACGGTCGTCACCAGTAGCTGTGTGTCTGTGGCCTCATATAGCTTTGTAAAGTCATCCAAGATTTCGCCCTTCCGCAGGAGCTGTTGAAGGCATATGGGAACACCATAACGGGTGCGAAGAACCTGTTTTAATCCATGCACAGAAGTCCCCTGAGAAACATATATGCCAGACTTCGATGTCATCTTCGAGATGCGGAGGCGGATCGTTCTGGCAGGGAGTTGGGGCTGAGTGCCGCCAGACACGACGGAGGGTGCGTCCCGGCTCCATGGCTCCTGTCCACTCATTAGGGCCCTCGGGGCCCTCCGGGCTGTTTCTGCCAAGAGGCTGCTGGCAACAATGCTAGCGCCCAGCAAAAAAAGTCGAGTCTTGTGATTTCTTGGCGCTCACTGTCGACGAGCCTCTACCTTTTCACCTCAGAGATCGCCCTAAAGCCCAAAACGAAAGAACGCTGCACGGCATGCAGGCCACTTGCAGCTTGAGCAGAAATTGCAGCGGGGACATGCCCCCCAGCAAAGTGCTTCCGTTGCTCCCTGGTCCACGCTGCAGATTTGTACTCATTAGAGTGACACAACTCTAATGAGTGCTCGTATCCACACACTACCACACATCTTGCAGGCCGGCGCCAGAAATTACACAGTTTGTCCGCGCATGCTGGTTTAGCTATATATGCATCATGAAGCGTATGCCTGCTAAAAGGCAAGGACGCAGTTGCGGCGTTCCATCGGAGTGAGCTGGGCCAAACTTTTACGTAGGCTCGGAGAATGCGCATTGGCGGTGCAAATCACCGCGAGGAAAGTCTTGCCATCGCAGGTTTACACTGGTTTATCCAACTGCGTAGGAGCCTTGCTTGGTCTGCAGGCATGCTGCGAATCTTCTGAAAATGGCTCTCCAAGCGCCGTAGGTCTTCGTGCGCGGATTCGATGATGGCTGGGTCTGTTTCGTGAGTAATGTTGAAGACCCTCTCGCCAACATCTTCCAGAGTACCAGCTCTGTACTCCACGCACTCGGCGTACCCACCGCCTAATGAGTGTGCAGTCCAGAGCTCTGCACTCATGGACCCTTGTTCACACATAGCTTGGCGGATGGCGCGCCCTTCGTAGACCATACCAACTGCACAGCATCTGCAGGTGATGACGTCGGCCTCGACAGGGTTGTTGCGCTTTTCCTCTTCGCACTTTCTCTGCAGCTTCTCTCGGAGGTCAGAGTGTCGCTCTTCCGCCGTCCGCTCAACGAACGAAACGTAGCTTTGACGCGGGTCTCGGTCGGGAGGTTGTAGCTGTTGTATGACTGCGTCTATTGAGTCTGTTTGTTGAGCGGGTGCGCGCACGTGAAGCTGTCCCACTTGATGGCTCATGACAGCAGGGCGAAGATGCGCTCGAAGGCTCCCACCAACTTGAATGTCGCTGTTCGGCATCTTGGACCGAATCAGGCCCCTGATGCAACTGCATGGAGAGGAAAGTTGGAAGCTATCGCCGCGGTGCGCCGGAATGGGCGCCTGTGCCCTGAACCCTGGCCGAAAGGCTCCGAACAGAAGCTGCCAGGGCCTGCGAAGACCTTCGCAGCCTACGCCGCCCAACGCAACAATTGCCAGGACAATCGCCTCAATCTTGCAGACGACCCAGACAAAGCATGCGGAGCCTCTCGCGACACCGAGGAACTTTGCCTTTTTCTTATCACCAAGGAAGCACGTGATGATCTCGTCGGCGTGCAGCTTCATGGATTTGGGATCCCTCTGGAACTGATGGAAGGAGCAGTCCATCTTCACCTCAATCAGGTAGGAACCATTCCCCACCTTCTCAAAGTTCAACTCCTTCATCACGTCGGCTTCCAAGGACATCTCCGATGTCATTGCTGCTTTCCGGCGATCCGCAAGGGAACCAGCCGAACTCAACTGGGCAATTTTCTGAGCAAGAATGAAGCCATCTACTTCATCAGAGCCGGTGCCTGCATTTGACAACCAATGCCTCAAGTCCTGTCTTGAAACAGCGAACAGCACATCTGAGCTCTCCTTGGAGCTTGCAAGGCTGTCAAACAAGCCTCGTGCTTCAGGACTTACTCGCCAACGTGCTGCTGGAGCCGCCGAGGCAGCGACTTCAGCCTTCGCGCACTCCGCCACCTTCCTTGACAAGTGGCCAGCCAGAAGATTCGAACACCCAAGTGACTCCAAAGCCTCCAAAGCTTTGCCCAGCCAAGGGAACCTTGGGCGAATGCGGCTCGCGAAGCTCTGGACTTCAAAGGCTGCGCCAGTAAGGCCTGCGAATCTACTGTCTTGAAAGACTTCCGACACTTCAAGCACCACTTCAGCACATCGCCTCGTCGAACCGAGTTCCTCGAGGGCTTCTTCAAAGTGCACGTTTAAGAACTCCAAGGCCAGGACCACCTGACTCGGATTCTGCACGAAGCTTGCCGCATGTGCAGAGATGTATCCTAATACCAAGGCAAGCTCGGCCCTCTCCTCAATCTCAAAGCGCAAGTACAGGACATCTGAGCTTGCTCCAATCTTGAAGAAGCTGTAGGGAAAAATCCAAGAAAGGCTCTGCAAGGGAAGCTCCAGGATCTCTCCTCGCTGCTGTAGCCTCACAACCAGCAACTTCTGCATGTCCTGGGCGAAGTAGCATATGACTGACTCCTTCCAGCTTGCCGACATAAGAGAAGCGCTGCAGCCACGAAAGAACTTCAGCAGAGTTCTTGCCAAGGGTGAAGACTCTTTAGCTTCTTTACATTGGCGCGCGGACCACTCCCAGGCAAGGAAGGATGGGCGGTCGGAATCTCCGCCCATGGCCCTCCAGAGGAGTCCATCTGAGCTTCTCAGCTCCACTCCTGGTGACTTTCGCGCACCCGTCCCTGTGATTTCAGCCGAAAGGGAGTCCTTCTTTCTAGCGGTTGTACCTTGGACCCTTATTGTACCTTGGGTTTTGGGGACCCGGTTTAATAGTCCTCAAATAAGCCTTAAGGTATCATAAGGGCCACATTAGCAGTATATTAGGGGGGACCATGAGGGGAACAATCGTAGGAGTCATACCCTTGATTGTTGTAGCAGAGCATTCGTGCTGATGCAGCGTACATACACATACACAACATAGTCTACCTGAAGGCTCTTATGTAGTTCTTTTTGGGGGGCTGCCGCTTATTCCTGCGCGGGCCGGAAAAAACTGGTCTGACCAAGAATTTGTGGCGTGTTACTTTCTTGTGGCTTCTGCCCGCTTTTTTGGGGCGTTTCGGATGGTATGGGCAAAAAAAGGTTCTCAAAACAATATTTGTCACGATCGTGTGTTGCAGCTTAGATTCAGGAGTCAAAGAAGACATAGGCTTTGTGTATGGCCAGTGCAACCTGCATACCTGAAGGTTCTTGTACACTTTTTTGGTGGTCGGACTCTTATGTTCTTGGAAGGACCTGAAATTTGGGCATGACCTAGAACTTCTGGCACTTTAGCTTCTTGCTCTAACAGCCCGTCTCCTAGAGAGCGGAGAACTCAATTCGCATTCGGATTTCTTGGCTTCGGGTGAAAATAATTGGCCTCGGGCAATGTATCGTTCGAGATCTCTAAAAAGACCCTTGTGGAGAAGAAGGAAAAAGGGAGGAAGGCTTGGTCTGTGCATGTACAGGTTAGGGCTTATAGTATTTGTTTTGTGAACTGGCATTTCTGCGCTCAGGATTTGATGGTTCACGGCGGGAAAGTTCAAGATGAGGGGGGGGGGGGGGGGGGGGGGCGGGGGGCGAGGTTTAATTTCAAGCCTAGCTAAGCCCTATAACCCCCCCCCCCCAAAAAAAAAAAAAAAAACGCTACGAGTCATATAAACCCTATGAGCCTGGTAAACCCTATAGACCCAGTCAGCCCTATAGACCCTATATATATATATGTATATTTCAACCTCATGTTCCCGCATGGAAGGCCAATCGGTCAAAAACAGCTATCGTCAAGAGCCAAAACAAAACTTCTGATCGCCCTTTTCCTATCTGTAGTCTTGCTTGCTTGCTCAGGGTGTGAGGCAGATACTCTCTCTCTCTCTCTCTTTCTCTCTCTCTCTCTCTCTCTCTCTCTTTCGTTCACTCAGCCACTCGCTCACTCTCTTTCTCTCTTTCTGCGCATATATGTTTATATATATATATATATACATACACGTTGATATATATGTATATGTAGATGGAAATGTGCACGCATATACAGCCATATATATATTTATTTGTTTATTTTAATTTATTATTACTTTTTATTGTATTACATTATAATGTATTCTATTATATATATATATACATGCTACCAGCCTCTCATGGGTCACCCGGTTTGGTGGTCTTGACTGTCATGGGGGGAAACAATTATAAGTGTTTATCACGACGTAGCGAGAAATGAATGGAGGTTTCTTTGTGTATATACTGCGAGCGTTCGAAGCTAGCATACGTCTCTTCAATCTAAGGAAAGAGTTTCCTTATGAATTGTCCTGCGCACAAGAAGTTCTAGGACATCGAAAGAGGCGGCCCGCAACAACGGAGGTGTTTTCTTTCCAATAAATAGAAGGAGGTGAGGAGCGTCTTGTGTTATGTAATGTAATACTACAGGAAGGAAGCCAACGGAGCATCGTCCGTTCATGATTATGAACATGATCGTTGGACGTAAGCTCTCCGTTTTTCATCAAAACAAGGAAATGAACAGAGGTTTCTTGGTGTGTTTTTGAAGGCCTTTTTTATTAACAAAGAGAGATACTAGAAGCCGAGATCATCTTGATTAAACCGATATTCAATGGCTGTCAGCAATTTGGGGCCTTAATTTTCCTAAAATAGAACGAGGTGACCAGGAGTGTCCTTTGCAACCTGAAGGGCAGCAACAGCCATTATACATACATATACACAAATAAAAAATAGGTGCGCGTGTTGAAAGTGGTATCGTTGTTATAACACAAAGGAAATGAATAAAGGTGTTTCTGTGTATGATTGTGAGTGTCAAAAACCGATCGTATTTCTTGCGGTCTTAAGAGCTCTTTGCTATGAATCTGCAAGCACAAACGAAGCTTTGGATGACTGATCTAGCGTTTTTTTCATTAAACGTAAGATAAACTAACAAAAGCCTCTAGACAAATTGTCATGCTCAGAAAAACGAATCGCGTTTTCAGTTTCAAAAGTAGTAGGCGGTCAAGAGGAGGGCTCTTGTAAATCTGAGAGAACATATTGAAGGCTCGCCCTTCATGATATAGAGGTTTCTTTGTTAGTTTATTCTTACGAATGCCAGCAGCTATCGTATTTCTTGTTAGCCGTAAAAAGAGTTTCGTTATGAGCCAGTAAGCAAAGAAAGTGTTTGAATTTCTTATCTAACGCTTTGTCAGATCATTACGCTCAACATAGACAGCCTATTGAACAAAGGGCATGCTTTCGCGAAATCAGCTCTCAGATGGGGTTTTCTTGTTCTTGAATTTAGAAGGAGGTGAAGAGTCAGGAGGGTCTTCTACAGTATCATGAGATTAGCAGTAAATGTCCTCATTTCTTGAAGACGGGCGTGGCGTAGCCTGCGCTCCAAAACCAAAATCCAAACCAAAAGAGCTCAAGTCATACAATACAACAAAGACATACCATGCAATACCAAAAACAACAACTTGTCAGATGTCTTTGGACCTGGGTGATTCACTTTGGAGTCTTACAAGAGTCCTGGAACATTATTGTTTTTTGGTACTAATTTTGTGTTCTTTGGTATGTTTATGTTTGGGCTTTTGGTTCTCCCAAGAGTGTCCAATTTGTTGTGTACCTTGTTTTAACAGCCATGTTCTGGTATTGGTGCGTGGATGAAATTCCCTCGGTGTTCGTGTGTTGTTGGTTGAATACTCAATCCCTGAACCCGTCACCCCTGCGCGGAGAACAGCCGAATCGTGTTGCTAAGCTCCGTACCAGAGCAAAGGGGACACAAATGGTGGATTCTTGGGTGGGGGAGTATCTGTATATGCACACATGTATGTAAATGCTAACCCCCCCAGGACCTACAGGACCTACCTCGCAAAATCAAAAAGGCCGAATAACCAAAAAACACAAAAAACAAAACTTTGGTAGACTAGTCGCCCAGGTCCAGGGCTAGTGTCCCAATTGTTTTTTGTGTTTTTGATTTTTTGTTTTTGGGGTTTGTGAGCGTTCGGCCAGGAGGACTCGCCCATGACTGCCACGAAACCCTATAATTAGGGTTAAGCAATTAAGCCTAAACCCTCAACCTTTAAACTAAAAGGGTTTAGGGTTTACGTGAAGGCTCTTGTGTAGTTCCTTTTTGGGTTTAAGATTTAGATTTAAACCTAAACCCCTTGGGGCCTAAACCTTCATGGTTTAAGGTTTAGGAATTTAGACCTAAACCCTAAACCCTTTAGGGTCAGAACCCTTAAGCCCTATAGGGCTCTAAAAGGTTCAAACGCTTTAACCCTACTGGCGCTGAAGATAAACATGCCCAGACCTAGTAAACCCTATAAAGTTTAAAGGCTTAGGGCTTTTCAGGGTTTATATCTGAAACCCTCACGGGGTTATAGGGTTTGAAGGTTGAGGGTTTGAGGTTTAAACATTACCTGGAGGATTAACACCTTATAACCCTACAGGGCTTGAGGCTTAAATCCCTAAACCTTAAATCCTATAGGGTTATGCCTATGTTTGTAGGGGCTTGCCTCCTGTGGAAATGCAAAGAGAAAGCAGAAAAAGTACCCACATCATGTATGTATATAGGGCATATGTATTGTATGCAAAATTCAGATAATTTAGAAGGAAGGAGGGTACGCCTCGAACCATAAGACTAGGAAGAATGCGAGTGGGGACGCGAGACTACTGTGAGCACTGTTTCCTGGGATCTTCCACCAGGCCGCTAGTAGCAGGCTAAGGTTTAAAATGCCTAAACCTCAAACCATGAAGGTTTAAGCTTTATGGGTTTAGGTATAAGTTCCTAATTTTTAAACCCTAAACCATTAAACCTTAGCCATATAGGGTTTAAAGCTACCTCAACACTAAAAAGCCACAAAACTGGAAAAACTGAATAACCAAACAAACCCCAAAAAAAAAAAAAAAAAAACTAAACTAAAACCAAAACACAAAAATGTGGGACACTATGCCCTGGGCCTGGGCGACTAGTCTCCCAAAGTTTTGGTGTTTTTTTTTGGGGGGGGGTTTGTTTGGTTATTCATTTTTTCAGTTTTTCTGCTTGGTCCTGGAGGGGGTTATCTATAATATATATATATATGACCTGCCTCACAAAATCAAAGCACCACCCAAAAAAAACAAACTTTGGGACACGAGTCGCCCAGGTCCAGGGCATAGAGTCCCAATATTTATTTTGTTTTTTGTTTTTGGATTTTGTTTTTTTTGTGGGGTTGGATATTCACTTTTTCCAGTTTTGTGGCTTTTTAGTGTTGAGGTAGGTCCTGGGGGGGGGGGGGTTACCATGTAAATCTGCGTGTTGATGCGTTTTGATACAGTTTATCAATTTCTGCGGGTTTCCAGTATAAAAAACTAAATTTGCATATCTGTGTAATGTGAGTGTACATGCATGTACACAATGTACACAGACATACCTGCATATAATTGTAGTATATGGTGGGGTAGTCTTGAACTGGGGGGGGGGGGGGGGGCCTGAACGCTATTTGTGATCTACCTTCAGGGCGGATTGTCTCAGATTTTGGTCTCGATGGCAAAAACAGCCGCGCAAGAACGCGTTGGGAACACAAAAAAAAGGGACGGGAACACAGAAAAAAGCGCAAGAACGCGCAAGAATGCGCAAGAATCTGTGCGGCCTTGGACAACTAAATACAACCAATATTGTGTCAGCC